TGGGAGTGGCACCTCAAAAAAAAAATCCGCCTACGGGCATACCTGGTTTGCCCCCCCCCAGAACCTCAGGCTGGATACGCCACTGTTAACGCATGCGCTCGACTTTCAATGAGGGTTGCCATCATTTCCGGCCATCAAAATCGAGGCCACCCTATGTATTATTTGAGAAGACATCTTAAAGAATATATCTACCAATTTTCAGCTATTGAAACGATAACATTGTTCCTTCGGAAAAAGAGGGGTAGTTTACGCCCAGCCATCAAAGGGTTGCGGCCATGAGAATCGAGGCCACCCATCCATTTAGTTTAAAGGTAACTATGAGCTATTCTTTTATGTGAAAATTATCCATTGCAACGATCACATACCCGTTAATATTGCCGGCTCTCCTACTGTATTACTTATGGCCGTTTTCCCAGGAATTGCCTTAAGTAAGGAATAGTTGAAGGGGGTGTGCGCCAAAAATTAAAGTTAGTGTAAAAAAATCTAAGAATAACTGAGATATATCGCCTTTTAGAGTATGTGTGACGTCACGAGAGCTTCGTCCAGTCGTGCTCCACATTGTTCATTTCATTGTTCTCTGCACGCGTCAGTAGTTTTTGTCAGATTATTGCAGGTCGCACAGAAAAAAACATATGTAAATTCAATGCATTTCACTATCTCGTGCGGCGCTTGAGCTTCCGTGACGTCATAGGGTGAGATGCGTTATCTTCATAGAGCCGTATCTTCGGTATTAATTGTCATAGAGGGGTGTAGTTCTCACTAGCCGTGTTCGGCATTGTCATCTTTTTCGTCGATTTGCTCCGAATTTCTGACAGGCATGTGAATGGATCAGACAGTTACAATTTCCAGTCACGTGACTGCTAAAAACTGAGAAGAAATCGACGAAAAAGATACAATGCCGAACACGGCTACTGTTATTCGTAGATTTTTTTCCTTTTTCTTTTGAGATGAAGTTGTTTTTTTGGCGCACTCCCCCTCTAAGGTAGGTACACTTATATTTTAAGTAGCCCTTAAGGCTTGTTGCGTTGCTCAGCGGCCCTCAGGATCAACTCTCAATAAAGATTGAAAAATGGAGTACGGGCTGGCAACATTGCATTTCTGTCAAAAGAACGAAAATAATCCCAAACCTAATTTTAATTTCGTCCAGATTCCGGGCCACGTATTTATGTTCCATACCATTATACAGATAAATGCCATTCTGAAGCCGGTCCCAGACGCTACGTGTATTCGGCGAACATTCGGTATTCGGGCTTATACGTGTGACTTCGCATCACTGCTCCCAGACGCTTCGGAATTAAAAAGGGGGTATATGCATAGTGTTTTCTCAGTTTATAGCTGTTTGCATTACCGCAAGGTTTATTTTTGCATTTTTAGTTATTTTCAATTAAAATAAGAAATGGAGTTAACGTTAGAATTTTTACAATTATTTGAAAATGATCCTGCCATTTGGAACCCAAAGATACCAGAGGTGTTTTCTCGCGTCTGAAACTTTTGAAACATTTTTCAAAACTGGTTTAAAACAGTTACACAATGACGTCAAAAGTTCTCGGCGCGAGAAAATGGTTCAAAAAGGTGGATTGGATTGTATTTCGGAGCGGTTTGAACCAATTATGGGTGAATTCATGAGTTTATCGCGAGAATATACTATTTCAAACCTGTTTTGAGCCTATTTCAAAAAAGTAAACTTGAGAAAACAGCTGATCTGTTGAAAATGACACAAGTAGCGGCGGTAACAATATGCTCTTCATCACTATCCATTTAAACTAAACATACGTCATGCATGAAACGCCACTGAAAATCGACGGCGCTCTTCAAAGATTCGTGCGAATGACGAATATTCGCCTATTCGTTAAATACACAGGCATAAACCCTAGTATGATTTGTATAAATTGTAACATCTAGTAATTTTGTGAGGCATCGTTTGAATGTTAGCGAAGGCCATTTGAGGTTTGCTTTTATTTGGTAAAATGATTCATAATTGCCTCCTTGGAATCTTTGGGGCCTCGATTTTTTTATAAAGTTCATTATGTATTCTTCAAAGTCAATTTCGTTACTGTATCGTCATTCGGCTGTATTGATCACATAAATAATCAATCCTTGGTTTGGCCGGTGAGTGATTATAATTTGATTTGAACCATAATTTACGGCTGTCTCGATAATAATTGTTATCCCAACTACTGGCTCTTCTTCGTTTGTATGGAATGGTGCGTCATCAGTATCTTGCACCACACCTATAGGGACGGTAGAAATAGGTATGGTAGATGGCTATGCTATCAGCTATCACTGATATTTGATCTTCAACATTCTTATTCGTACCAAGCACGATTGTTTGAGTTTTCCGGATCTTTATCAAATTGCTTCATGTATTCCAAAATGTTTTATTTTCTACTTTACTATTATAGATCCATAATACCTAGGAAACGAAATACGTTAACACACCTATAACAACCTGATCCATAACGCCCGCTTCTGCGGGCGTTATGATCTATAACGCCCGCTTATAATACCCTGAGGTGTTTTTGTTGTTGTTGTTTTATTAATTTGCACTTTACCCTAGGCAGCCACTAAATGTCTGACCGAAAATAATTTTCGGTCTAGCCAGGATTCGAACCCGGTCTACCATCAACGTTTCCCATGTAGTCCAGCGCGTTAAACCACAGGACCACCACCGTTGCCTTGCCTTATGAGATGTTTATAGATATATTAATTTATTTCGTTTCTAGGTACAGGTCGCAGGTACAGGTACAGGTCACAGGTATAGTCCAACAAATACCATTTTAAAGTCACGTGATTTTTCTCTATCCTTGTTGAATACATCTCAAACAGCGGTGATAGTAAAATTGACAAAAAAATTGGTGTCTAATTATTGTTCATAATATTCTTACCTGAAATAGAATCCGTCACTGTCATCAATTAGTTTGTCAAAGTTATTTTCGAAAATGATACAACGAACAAACACAGCTAAAAATTTTTACTATATTAACCTTTTTCCAACTCGAAAAGGAGCAAATAGAGAACGGGTACCCAATTCAAGTTTAGAATGTATTACAACGGACAGTAGATGCGACAAAAATGAGTCTCGCAACAATTGCAAGTATTAAAATTCCTTCCTGATTGGTCAATACTGCTTCAGAAACGCGTTTGTAAAATTCTAGTGGGAACATATCTTAAAATTCAATGGTAATTAACCACCAGTAGCTTTTTGTAGGTGATATAAACGACATAATCAATGGACATACGGTCGGACTTTACAGGTACATGTCAAAATACAAAACAATATTCTGTCACACAAGTTTAACTGATTTTGTTAATAATAAATTGATGAAAAAACATTGTGTTGAGTAGAAAATAAAGCATTGTATGCACCACGGGGATTTTAAGATTATAATGCCCTTCAGGCGAAATATATCCCTCGGGCCATAGGCCCTCGGGCTAGTTTCGCCTTCGGGCATTATAATCTACATAATCCCCTTGGTACATAAATAGCTATTTTGTTTCTCAAATGTAGATCTTAATTTTTGATAACGCATCGGCGTTAGTATCAAAATTACCTTTTTTTATAGATTTTAATGGTAATCGGAACTACACCATTTCCAAATCCAAGCGGCAGTGAATGACAAACTGGTCATTTTCATTACAACCTATCAAATGTCCTCCGTGCATGCGCACTGGTCCAGGTAGGGCGTTTCAACCAATAGGAAGGCTGGTGTTTGTTTACAATTTAGGTTATCAAATGTCAGTTACTGCCGCTTGGATTTGGAAATAGTGTAGACGTCAACTTGCTTATTTTGACTGAGACACCCTGTGTGTGATTGCATATTTGGATTCTTCGTAAAATTCTGAGGAGATTTCATGTAATATACCCTATACCCAAGGTTCCTAAAGTTCATAGGTTGTCTGGTAATGGGTAACTTGATGACGCATCTGGGGTGCCTTATGGAGATTTGCATTATGTTGAGGCATACAGATGACGTCATAAAAGTTATCAGGCAACCTCGTTTAAAACAACCTTGCCCTATACCTAAGTTCAACTGTTTTGGATATATTGACAGTTGAAAATTGACTTTTTGCAACTTTGACAGGCTGTAAAACCTAAACGCTCAATTTCAGAGGAAGACCGGTTTTTTTACATTCCTGTCTTAGATTTTCATGAACTATGTCAAATGATTTGAATTTAAGCGGAGATTAATTTCAACTGAAATTTTTAATCATGGCTTAAATTCAAAGTTGGTGTCAAATGATAGTTTATATAAATCTAAGATAGGAATGTAAAATCGGTTTTCCTCTAAAATTAACTGCTAAGGTTTTAGAGCCTGTCAAAGTTCCAAAAAGTCAATTTTCAACTCTCAATATTTCCAAAACGGTTGAACTAAGGTATAAAGTATGTCACATGAAATCTGCTCAGAATTTTACGTTAAATCCAAATATGCAATCACATACAGGGTGTCGCACTTAAAATAGGCAAGTTGACGTCTACTTCTGACATAACCGGAAGTGCCACCGTCTTGAAAATATTTAAGCCGGGTTGCCCCCATTGACATTAGTATACTCAAATTCCCAAAAGTTGCCTGCGTACAGTTTTTCATGTTGAGATCGATTTGTTTCCCGGTGGAATACCCTATGTATACAGATACATTGAAGTACACACATCTGTTATTTGCACAAAAAAAAAATAAAAATCTGTCATGTCATGTTCGTGTTTGAAAGCAGCCTTCTAAATTTTCTATGATATAAAGTTTCTATACGTATTCAAAAATGGACCTATAACAGTTGGTGAAAATGCGCTTCTCCTGAAAAATTATTGTTGAGAATCGGGTGCTAACGCCGAAGCCAGAGGGTTGATATCAACAAACGCGCTTAGAGAAATTTATTCATTGAGACATTAGTCAATATCATAAAAATATTCCATCAGAAAATTTGATGCCAATTAACAATAACATATTAGAAGGGGTTAGGAAAGGATATAATTTTTTTCTTCAGGTGATTATGTTTTTTTCTAGGGAGCTGTGGTAATCCAGACGCCAAAAGACTCTATGATGACTTGCTATCCAATTATAATAAGCTAGTACGACCAGTTGTAAATGTTAGTGACGCACTTTCTGTGAAAATTAAGCTCAAATTATCACAACTCATTGATGTGGTAAGTAGAGAATAATGTTTATATTATCAGGGTCATATTTTTTATCTGTAGATACCTAATTCAATTATATTATCATGGCCGATTTCCGATTTCTATGCACTTAAGTGTATATTGAGCAGAATCTCTGAAGGTAAAGTCCCCCACACGAAATATAGAGGACGATGCCTGAAGAGGGAGAGGAAGCAAATGCAACAAAAACTCAACGACAGAATTTTAGAACTTAGTAAATTTACTAAAACGATCGAGAAATCACGGGCCTTCAAAAAAAAAACAAACAATCAAAAATTGATATGGTTTCTTGGACGTATGTCTTAGCAATATTTTTCTTTAATTTTGTCAATGAACTTTCACCGCTATCTTATCCTTCAATATTTCCTCTGCAATATTTACCATCAGTGTTCATTTTACGTACAAATTTTCGGATAAATTCATAAACTATCTTGAGTCCATTCTTGCATTTCTCATGCCTTTGAAGAATACTCGTCTCTTGGTTGTAGCAAAACGCCCCAAGTACTCTATGTAAATAGTTAGGTGGTAAATGGCGAGCGGTATATGGATGGTGTTTATATACTTGGAGTTGCTATCTAAAAACTGTGGAAGAGGGTCTATTTGCAAGAGAGAGAAACAAACTAATGAGGTGTACTAAATTATATTTTATTTTACATAAAACCCAAAAATCAGCCAAATATCTTCCAATACTTTACATCCTTCTTTATGCCTACAAAATCAATACTTCACATCCGTTCTAGATAGTTATTTTTACGGACCACTGAAATATCCCTACCCCTATCCTAAATAAGAAACGCCCTATTCATACTATTTCTCATAAATTATAATTTAACTCATTTCACTACATCCGAATCATTCCTAATAACTATCCTTTACCTAATCAAATAATTCTTCAAAATCTCAAAGCCCTTTACTTATGAAAACCCAAAATAATTACCTATTTGTTTATCAACTAATTTATTCTCATAAAATCTTACAATAACTTCTACTTGAAAAATAAACTCCCTAATTCAAAAATTATTTCATGAACAATAAATTCTTTTAACAACTTTCCCATATTTTAAGACAATTGTATTTCATGAACAAGTTTCTTTTCGAAACATCCTATTTCGTTTTAATTAGTTTATTTAATCAGAACAAATTCTAATATAAGTTTCCTTTTAACAAGGTTCCAATATTTTAAGAAAACAATTCTATTTTATGTCATCAAATTTCTTTTCAAAATTTCCTATTGCAGTTAATAGTTTATCAGAACAAATTCTATTTTCGGATTCCTATGCCTAGCTAATAAATTCAACTGTTTAATTCATAATTCCAACTCAAAATTGTATATTGTTAAATGCATTATAAGTACCCTTCTTATTTTCTTTGCACATTTAAATTAAAATGTCATTATATCTGAAGGCAATTAAAGTTATGCAATAATGTTCCATTTATAAAACACTCGAGTTATTACTATTAAGGCAATAAAGTTCCACTGTTAAATTAAAAGTCAAAAGTTTTTCTAGTAACAATCCTCAAGTTTATAAATTCAAAAGTATTTCTAGTAAAAATCACTCAGTTTGTTTTTATGCAATGAAAGTCAAAGTTTAATCACACAAAGTCATGTTCTTCATTCATATTCAAAATAATTCTTGTCACTATAGAGTACTTACATTTTGTCCATAAAACACACGTAAAATTACTTAATTAATTACTCAAAATATTTAGCTAGCACGCACATACATTATAGAACGAATTTCAAATGTTATTACTTTCACGATTTTCCGTAAATTTTCTAAGTTAAATTATACCCGAGGCCATACGCCATAAAAGAACTTTTCGCGAAAACGGACAGACTTCAACTGAACCCGCGGTTTTTATATCTTGCCCCAAATCGTCAACAGGCGGTCATTTGCCTAGCAATCCGACACTTCCATTGGCCAACCTAATTATTATTAAAAATAATGATGCAATTTCCTTGGAATTTTACATCATTTTTAGCCTAAAAAATCGAATAATTATGTCGCAATATAGTGATTTATTGAGGTCAAAACATTATTGGTTCAAGAATGATATATATCATCAAATTAATTAACATGCTGGCCTTGCTAAGAAAAAAGTTCATTGATCGGGTTTTTGATGTCATCACCTTGTCCTCGTTTTTATTATTTTTAAGAATTTAATTTTGAAGATGACAAGCGAGGGGGGGGTCGAATTATTTTAATTTATCGATACTGATTTAAGAATACCGGAATTAGGTTTTTGATTATTTGATAAAATTTAATTTTTACAGTAAAGACTTTGTAATTATCGGTTCAAATTTCTGGATCATTACATGGTGATTATTTTAATTCGCAGTTTGTGACTTATTGTCAATTTGAGATCTATACTTTTTCTTATTGTAGGATCACTTGCGCATTTTGCGACGCTTCGTACGTTTAAAAAACCATAGCAATCTTTGATTATTTTTTTTTGAAGACCCGTTACTAAATAACCTGTTGACTAGATAAAGACAACAAATAATGAAAGGAAATGACGTTCCATTTGGCACGGATTTCGGTTTTTGTCATGTGTTAGAAAAGGACTTCGTATGTGTGAAAAAAATTGAAAAGGTCTGTTTCTAACACATTGTTTCCTCGACGTTTTTTACTTATAAACCCATAGGCGCATGCGCTTTGGTTAGGTGATAATAGTACATTACAGTCCGCACTGTGGTAGCCACCTTTCACACGGAGAAACGTGTTTGAATAAGCAGAACCTGTGTTATTGAATAATACAGAACCCAGAGAATGCTTGCAGTATTTATTTCAAATAATGATTCACATCAAAAGATGCTCAAAACTACGACCACGCGCCTCAATGCACGTGTAACAGCGTTGTAGCAGAAATATCGAGTAGATTTTTGCAGGAAACCCTTCCCGAAACTGTTTCCCTGTATGCCAGACAAAACATAGGGTACCAACACCAAAGACAACCACCACATTACTTGTTAGCCTAGGGAACATCTCAACGAAACATCTGGAAAGAGTGATTGTTAGGGGGGCATGAACTCCGCCTGACGGAATGCGACTTTTTTTTATGGGGTCATATGAAAGCTCTTGTTTACGACACTCCAGTTGAAACAGCTAGAGGAAGTTAGTAGGAAGGAGTGTTGCAGCAGCTGCTGAAATTTTCGAAACACCATGAATTTTTCAACGTGTTCAGGAGGCTATACTACGGCGCTGTCACACACGTATGATGGAGGTGAGCGGTCGTAGCTTTGAGCATCTTCTGCTGTGAATCATTGTTTTTAGTAAATACTGCAAGCATTCCTTGGGTTTTGCATCATTTGATAACACGGTTTCTGCTTCAAACACGTTTCTCCGTGTGTAAGTTTGCTACCACAGCGTGACCTGTAATGTTCTATTAACACATAACCAAAGCGCATGCGCCTATGTGTTTATGAGTAGAAAACGTTTATTTTGGTGCGATCTATCATCCCTTAATTTTTGGTACAATAGTTTCGGAACGCCCTCATTGAAAAAAAATCGGACTTTCGTCAATCACTCGGGTCCGGGTCAATATCACGAAATCGGGGCCAAATACAAAAAAAACCTGAAAACTTCAATGAATTATGCCTAAAAAAAGTGCTTCTAGAAAGTTTTTACGGAAATGAATTGTTTCCATAAACAAAAAAGTTACCAGGGCTTCACCACCCAGCCCTCTAGCGGCTAAACGGTTGAAGATATCAAAATGCGGTTTACACCAATTAAAATTTCATGAAATTTGAGTCTCAGAGTGGGGAGTACATTTTTTTCTATCTCGCTCAGAAATTGACGTTTCCCGTTGAAAGTGTCCAAATTGGGCCACCCTGTATATACAGAAACCTTGATTTTTAGGTTAAAACTGAAATTATAACCACTAGAAACCTGCTGCATCATTACGTCTTTTTCATTATTGACCTAGGTTTTTTTCATTATTATCATTAATAACTTAGCCTTTAACGGCTACGGTGGAAAAAAATCCTTTAACCGCTACAGAGTGGTCTCCCAGACACACCATTAGAATTCGTGTTTTAAAATTCAATTTATTTTTTAATAATATCCAAAATTTGGTTCAAATAAAACTAAAAACTCTTCACAAACATACTCAACTTAACTCCTGTAATTTTTTTATTAATATGAAAAATTATTTAATTTATAATTCCTTTGGAAATAATAGGCTCATATACTTCTTCAGGGGCTGGACAATTTCCCAGTTGCTTTGCACCAGCTTTGAGTATTCTAAGTGTTCTTCGTTATCCATATCGTTATCAAGTTAATCAAAATCTGAGTAATCGAAAGATTTTGTGCCCATTTTTGAAATTTTGGGTCATCTGGATGCATTTAAGTGTGGTCTAGCAGTGGTCTAGCAGACCAGTATCTATCTTTAGGAATAAATAAAAAAATCCATACTCACTCCACTGACGTTATATCACTATTGATGTGCGGGACAGTGATCCACTGAAAGGTACATAAACTCTCACTTCTCAAAATACAAGTATTTTCAAAATAACCGGAAATTATTTTTATTTACAACCACATACGTAATGTTGACATTTCTGACTTTTCAAAAGTTTGAAAGTGACACTTTTTTGAATTTTACTTTCCACCCGGGTGGAAACTGGTCCCGGGTGGAAAGTGCTCACTTTCCACCCGGGTGGAAAGTAAGTTCTCATTTTTTAAAATGTTTAAGACGAGTCCTGCATGTCAAACGTTTTTTTAGATGAGTCAGAACTTGTCAACAAATTTTTAATTTTTTTTTTAGTATTTAGTCGAAATTATGAGGGTTGTAATTGTTGTAAATAAAATAGTATACAAACCTCGGTAGGAAGTTTCATTCCTGTCTCGAGATTATAGTTAACTTCGACGCTTCGCGTCTCAGTTAACTAACTAATCTCTCGACAGTAATGAAACACTTTCCACCTCGGTATGTAATATACTATTGCCAAGTGGTAGACCACTGTGTAGCCGTTAAAGGTTAGGGAGAGATATTCAATTTTTTCCAAGCAAAATAGATTAAACAAGGATAGTAGTCAAAATGTGTTATTTGTCGCCCAATTAAAAATATCTATTTTGTTATAAATGGTAATTTTTTCTTTGTTATAGAACCTAAAAAATCAAATAATGACCACAAACGTCTGGGTTGAACAGGTGAGTTTAATATTTTCACTATATTTACAGTAGGTATTTCTATTTCGGAAACTCAAATAAATTTCAACTTGAAAAAGTGCATGATTTGTGTTCCTTGGTGTACAAATAAAACCTTTAAAAACTTTATCAACGTGAGTGGAGTACGTCATAATATAAATCATACCGAGGTGGAAAGTGTTCCATTACTGTCGAGAGATTTTAGTTGGACAGAGGCGCAGCCGAGGCCTAACTAAAATCTCGAAACAGTAATGAAACCTTTAACTGTATACTATTTTATTTACAATCATTCGAATTTTGTAATTTTTATTTGACTAAAAACTAAAAAAATAAAATAAATTTAAAAATTTCAAATTTCATTTAGGAACTTTCGGCCCACGGGAATGAAGTGAATTTTCAACCCGTGGGTGGAAAGTAAAAGTCAGAAAAGTGACATTTTCAAACTTTTTATAAGTCAGAAAAGTCAACATTATATATGTATGATTGTGAATAAAATTAGTTGCAAAATTACTGTCATAGGCGCCGGAACCATGGGGGCAATGGGGGCTTGAGCCCCCATAGTGAATTTGCTATGGGGGCAGAGCCCCCATAGAGATTTTGGTATTATACAGGGTGTCCCAGAATATGTGGGCAATCTCTCGGATTCAAATAGAACACAAAAAAATAACATGACAACTTCCTATAAAAAAAAATTCTTACGGCCCCCCCAACGAAGTTACGCGCCCCTAAAGGACGCCTCTGAAAATCGTTTTTTTGTTGTAACTTCCAAAATACTTCGTGTAATTTTTTATTCTTTTAATATGATGGATACTAGATAAGACCTCTTAAAATGGACCCTTTCAAACACACTTGGCCAACCTAGTTTACCAGGGACGGACTAGCTTTAACACAATATTGCTAATTTTTTTTACACCCTGTATGATATAGGCATAGCAATAATATTTTTAGATTGTTTCAACCTTAAACTAGAAAAAAGGTACTCTTATTCGATGTCAAAAAAAGGAGCTGGTTTCGAGAAAAATCTGTTTTTGTGTACTTATTAATTGTTTTTTATTAAATAATTTTTTATGTCAACTCAACATGAGATCCTTTTAATCTTATGCATTCCATACCTATTTTAATAAAAGATTGTTCGACTCTCGACAATGCTTCAATATTAGCCCTTATTTCGCGAAAGTAAAAATTAATCTTTTCTACTAATATTTCCTCAGTTTTATTATTGCGTTAAAGCTAGTCCGTCCCTGGAAAAACAGATTGGTCAAGTGTGTTTGAGAGGGTCCATTTTAGGGGGTCTTACCTAGTATCCATATCATATTAAAAGAAAAAAACTTACACGAAGTATTTTGAAAGTTATCAACAAAAAACCGATTTTCAGAGGCGTCCTTTAGGGGCACATAACTTCGTAGAGGGGGCCGTAGGAATTTTTTTTTATAGGAAGTTGTCATGTTATTTTTTCGAGTTCTATCTGAATCCGAGAGATTGTCCACATATTCTGGGACACCCTGTATATGTAGTGAGTTTAGTGGGTAGGTACAGGGTGATCTATTATAAATGTCACCTGTCCTAATTTTTTCATTTGACGCTTTTGACAGAAGAGTCAAATACAAAAGCTTTCAGAAATTGTCAAAAGTTTTCAACTACGTTAGTTTTAAGCATCCTACAGGGTGCGTCAAAAAAGTGTAGCAGAGCTAAGTTATATTTTTCTAAATGGAACAACATGTATATTGTGCACTAATTTGTTAGTACCTTTCAACCTGAGTTCAACAATATGGGGTGACACAAGGAATAGGGAACAGTCTATAGCTTTTTCAATATATAAGTTGAAAATTTGAAATTTGGGGAGCTTAAACGAGGTAATTTTTTGAGTTTTTCAGAAGTAAATTGCGTTACCAGTCACTTCCGGTTTAATATAATATATAATAATAACTTTTCATTTTCAAATAAAACATCCGGTATTTTTTAAGTTTTCTGACATCAGCAGATCATTTTTAGTATGATAGGACTATTTTTGGAAAGTTTTCAACAAAAAAAAATAAATTGAATTAATTTTTAGACAAAAAAAATCGGCGCTGCCACTGGTGTAAATTGATTTAGTTGGACATTCTTAATATCAGGAAAATCTGTAACTTCAATTTTTTCCTAACTGAACGCCATAATTTCAGATCAAAATTAAACAAAAAGGTTTTTTCAAAGTATTCCATATTTTTCAAATGTAACCACGCCGGGACCTATCAATTTTTTGAAACTAGATTTTATTCCCTATTTTTTGATATCAACATTTTTAAAATCCGCTGAGAAATAACCCAATAACTTTTGAAAAATCTTTATTTTTAAATGCAATTTTTTTTTTGGTTTTGTTATAAATTTTTCAAAAATGGTCTTATCATACCTAAAATGATCTGCTGATGCCAGAAAACTCGAAAAATACCGGGTGTCCCATTTGAAAATTAAAAATTATGGCCACTTTCGGTTTAAGTGAAGTGAGTGATAACGCAATTTACTTCTAAAAAACTCAAAAAGTTGTCTCGATTAAGCTCCCCAAATTTCAAATTTTCAACTTGTATATTAAAAAAGTTATAGGTTGTTCCCTATTCCTTGTGTCACCCTGTATACGTTTTGTTATGTTTACCTTTAATAGTTATAGGGAAAAACGCGAAAGCCTTATCATTTCATGTACATTTTTTTAAATAATAATAACTCAAGAAAACTGATTTTATTTTAACATTTCACCCTCGATTTCACCTTGTAAATTAATGAATAACATTCGAACAATAGACTGTTTATATTAAATAATTCTCTCTAAAGCTATTTAATGGTATCTATAATTTTTCTTTCTTCTCAACATGAGACCTTGGAAGGGGTTTTCACATTTTTTCCTATAACTATTGAAAATAAACATATCAAACCATATATCGTTGGAATCAGTTTGCTAACAAATAAGCGCACAATATACTTACATTTCAATTTAAAAAAAATATAAGTTCGCTCTGCTACACTTTTTTTACGCACCCTGTATGCATGATACTGTCTTATGGCGTGTCCGATTGGTAGATCTAGTGCGGAACTAGTGCAATTTTTTCTATTTCTGTCTTTTTCTTCTACAGGTCGATTAAAAAGATACAAATACACTCAGTGCGCACTGAATCTACCCATCGAAAACGCCATAAATTAAAAACTTTTGACAATTTCTTGAAACTTTTGTATGTGACACTTTTGTCAAAAACGTCAAATGATAAAGTTAGGAGGAGGTGACATTTATAATAGATCACCCTGTACAAAAATTATAAAAATATTGAGTTCCTAATTATTTATTTTTATGTCAAATTTGTGTGCATTATGTTTTTATTGTTTTTGCTATACCTACATGCTTATAGACTTTGAATATTTTGTTGTATAGTAGGTATATTTTGGTATTTAAAGCTGTATTTTCAAAAAGTCGGATGATCCAGCGTGGCGATCCTGCAGTGAATGTGTATCAGTCAACTGGTCCCATTTAAGCCTATGTGTCTAGTAGCCTACTGGTCGTGTCTGTATAATTTTACTTGTGTTTTTATTGGAGCCCGAGCCCCCATAGTAATTTTGAAGTTCCGGCGCCTATGATTACTGTACCTAATAACTATTCTTGAATAGATGTTTTCAATCAATTTAAAGCTAAGTAAAAATCGAACTTCTTATACATACCTACTCATTTAGTTTTTATTGGTTGCAGTAAAGCACAACTTCAATTTGGAAATACATATTCCACTATATTTTTCCTCCATAATACAAACTAATTCCTACAACAAACAAAAATTCTAAAATATTTTTAGTCGTGGTATGACTATAAACTCAAATGGAATCCGACCGATTATGGAAACGTGGATATGCTCCACGTCCCCTCGGACAATATATGGAGACCTGACATTGTTTTATACAATAAGTAAGTAAGAAATAATATTATGCCGTTATGTCGAGAATTTTTATATGAGAAAATATCATCTGGGTTAGCGGGTATCTACCTACGTCCTAAAATAAAAATGAAAAATGCTTTATATTTTACGATTTTTACTTCACGTTTCTGCGTTTGAATTTGAGCTCCTAAGAGGGTTGTGGGTTTTATTGGAAATACATAAGCTTCAAGGGAAGAAATAGGAAACGGGACAACAAATATGAGTTTTTTTCAGTAAATTTGAAATTTAACGACTTTTTCTTTAAAAGGTTATTAGGTACTGTAGGTTATTAGGTACCTACCTAATTGTTCAAAAAATTTATTGGCATTTTAAGCAATTAATCTGGCACACACATGTGCTTAACACATATTTTCCCAATTTTATTGCATACGGGCGCATTGTCGATCTTGAGTGAACTTTTTCCCTCAATCGACAATGGCATGTTTTGCGCCCTTAATACTCTAATACTTATTTCTGTCCCAGTGTGCACGGTGTTCTCGAATCATGCTCACCTCCATAACTTTTAAATTTGATGTACGAACAGGCCGCAAAGCACTCATTTGCGCCCTAATTTCCCACTAATTTTTGAAATTGGCATAGTTGGATAAAGCAACTAAAAATTAAATTTTCTGCACCGTTACTCTTGAAAAACTTGGAGTCCTTGTTGAGAAAATAAATAAAAAAGAAACTTTTCAAATAAAAACATGGGATTTATCCGCACTACGTCAGAGCTTGAATTTTGACAGTGTTGTAACCAATGACATCTTAACACAAATAGACACCACATATATAATCCATAAACTGATGTTTGTTGTGATGACAAGACCCTCCATTGGCCAGGAGAGGTGAGCTGCTCGAGGGGGGTCATGGTAGGGATGCATCAGTGGTGTAAACAAGACCCGTATTCCCCTCTGAACCCGTCATTCACTTGACCAAAATAATAAAGAAATGCGCACGGGTGAAACTCGTTTATCTATCTGTCTGCCTCTTACTCATATGATATAAGTTTGATGGGCGCGTTGACATGCCAAACGATTTCAGCGAGTGTCCCTCTCTTACAGAACCGGCGTTGCCAGTAGTCGTTTTTAGTCTTGAACCTCCAACTTTTTGAAGCAAAGTCATAACACGAGAAAATATCAATCTATAACAATTTGGCAACCAAATTGGAGGGAATACAGCGGTGGTGGATTGCTCTCCTAGATGTTGGCGACACAAAATGTTGTTTACTGTAATGTCTATCTGTGTTAATATGTCATTGGTTGCAACTCATTGTCAGCACTGAAACTTTGTAATATTATGTTTAATTCTAAAATTAGGCCAAATACCAAACAAAAATTGTTAAAATAATCACTTAGGGATTCGTTCATAACATTTTTGAAGTGAAAACTTCTTTTACGAGTTAGGACGTTTAACGTTTAAATTTAACGCATTTGGGGAGGGGTACCTTAGACAAGGAGCCTAAAATGAGTCTGTGCGCAGGAGAGAAAGAGAGGTCCGTTCAATGCTTACAGCCGTATGCAACATCCTCTTTTTACTTGAAAGCGCTTTTTGAAACTTGTCACTTTCAAAAATTTGTATTCTAAATGAAAATTTGCTTGAGTGCACAAATCCCAAATCCCAGTAAACAAGGTGAAATGAGTCGAACCCAATTTGGTTTATTGAAACCACTTATTTTCAACTAGTTAACCAAACTTCAAGACCTTCCAGTTCTAGAAGTCCTTCGTCATCAGGAAATAGTGATTTGAATGTGATGTTGCCAAAAACTAAAATTTCTTGTTTTTCAGGAAATGTTACTCAATTTTCAACCTTTAAAGACATATTCAATGCTTTGATTCATAAGCATAGCGCACTGAGCAATGTAGAAAAAATCAATTACCTACTTAGTTTTCTCCGGCTTTGATTCAAAAATTGTCAATGACAGAATTAAATGTATCCTATTGCTTATGAAATTCTAGTGGAAAGGTTTCAGAATCCTCGTTTAGTTGCCGCTATACCCATTGGTTATAGCATTGTGGTATAGTGACAGCCCTATCGAGTTACGTCAATTATTAGATATTTTTGATGATAATTTGGTTGCTCTTCGCAATTTAAACTTGTCAGTTGATGCTTTGGATTTCATTTTAGTCTAAATGCTGCTTAAACGCAGAGATATTTCAATTGCTACCAAGTTCAAGTGGCAGCATGACCCTCATGCAACCACTACCTACTCATAATTGGCTACCTACCTGGGTAAACGCTGTTTGTCTTTAGATGTTTCTTCTAGCCAGTTTTGTTTTGTGTGAAAGATAAGCAAACTGCTAAAAGGGAAGATAACAAATCTTCACTTCCCTCCCCGAAATTTAGTTTTTGCTGGTGCAGTCTAACTCTGGGGTTCAAACTTGCTCTGTGTGTAAGAATAAGCATGCTATATATAGATGGCCTACTTTTCTGGAAAACAAACCTAAGAATGTTATAAATTAGCTCGCTCGCTCACTCCGCATTTGCCTGAATTATCTTAGCAATTCTCATCAGTTATCAACATTTAGCTGCTAATGGAATTTTGCAAAAAAAATTCAATATTCTCTTATCCACCGCCATTGTGGAAGTATTGGATGGTACGGGCCAGTTCCAAAAAATTTACATAATTTTGGGTGTTGTCTCCTGACGATGCTAAAACAACCAGACGTTTACCAGTCAGTCCATAATTTGGCCCTAACAGAGAATCACAAATTATTGATAATGACATCTTCGACGATATACCACAGAAACCAATACAATGGGAACTGAGCGAGGTTCCCAGATTAGAGGAGGTTGAAAAGGCAATCAGGCAATCAGGCAACTAAAGAACAATAAGTCAGCTGGTACTGACGGCAATTCTGCTGAATTCTTTGAACAAGGAGGCCCCACAATTAGTGCTCAAACCCACATCCTAGTAAGTGAAATATGGGTTACTGGGACCATACCTGCCAAACTTAGAAATGCCTCTATAGTAACCATTTTTAAAAAGGGAGACAAGGCTCAATGTGGAAACTACAGAGGAATATCTTTACTTTCTGTTGCGGGAAAGATACTTTCCAGGATATGATCCAATCGCCTAATCCCAACTGCCGAGGAGACCCTTCCAGAGACACAGTGTGGCTTTAGACCCAACCGATGTACAGCTGACATGATTTTCAGTGCAATACAAATGCAAAAGAAATCCAGGGAACAAAATCGCCCTATATTATGTATGGAGATTTAGTGGAAGCATTTGATTTGGTCAACAGAGAACAGAGAAGCTCTTTGGAAGATATTGGCAAAGGTTGGCTGTCCGTAAAAGTACATTCAGATACTTTGCCTGCTGCATGATAATCTGAATGCCACCGTCCTAAGCAACGATGGACAAGGAGAATTATTTCAAATAACTGCACTCATTAAACAGGGCTGTGTTATTGCACCCACTCTAGGATCCATACTTCACCTTGTCGAGAGTCACTTGCCGTCAGTATCCTGTACAAACTTGATGGCGGCTTATTCAAACTAAACAGATTACGAGTAAAGGCCGGTTTAGCTAGCTAATAGTGTATAATGCACAATTCTTGATTCTTAATTCACAATTCATAATAGCAGAAACGAGTGTTTTTACAGCGCGTACCTAATTATTCATGCATAAAGAAAGTGACAGGTGTCTTTTTTGCTGTTTGTTATCATATTATCATTATCAATATTGAAATATCAATTTTAATTCAAATCAATATTATTTTACTTATTTATTCACGATGAAGGTAAATAAAAAGGAATGAAGGCAATCAAACTGGAAAATTTGGCCACTTGTGACCGACGCATGCGCACAGGCCAAATTTTACTGTGATTTAGTGCTTAGTTCTTAAAAAGTTAGTTGGTCAACTTTGCGAATTGTGCACTAAATAACGAATTGCGCACTTATATAAGAGTTGGCTAAACAGCTACATACAGGTCTGGCAAGTCAGCATCTTACATTCCAATTTTAATGCAACAGAATGAAATGTATAGGAAAATTCTAAGGTTAAATAGAGAACGGAAATGATTTCCCCTGTTCCACCTCCAGCATGCAGCGCTGGGAACGCTGGAGGTGGAACAGGGGAAATTGTTTCCGTTCTCTATTCAACCTTAGACTTTTTCCAGACATTTCATTCTATTGCATTTAAATTCTAAGATATGTTAAATGTAAGATGTTCACTTGCCAGACCGGTATATAGCTGAAGTTTTAAAATTAAGCATCAAGAATTAAGAGTTGTGCATTATGCACTATTAGCTGGCTAAACCGGCCTTAAGACAAAAGTATCGACGACATCGATAATTGAATTTCAATATGCGGATGATAACGTCGCGATGGGCAATACCGGGGAAGATCTTCATGCAATTATCAACGCATTCTTATGTATCACTGGGACTTCTTAAAGAAAAAAATACTTCAATCGCTCAATTAGGAAAACGAAAATTCTCCTCATTACTAGTCAGTCCCTTTTTTTATGTATAATTTTTCCCACTTATGTTAACTTACCTACTTTCAACATGGTCTAATAAATTAATAATTGAATTAAATATACAACCTAAACTATATGCTTAACTAATGACTTTTTTTAATTGGGCCGAATCACCGCATTCCCTAATTACATCACGTTTTGCGCCGGGGGACATTGAAAGAAGTTCCTGTTCGACATTTAAATGGGGTTGTAATACGAATGTTCACAAAATAAAAAAATCCCGTTTAACAATCATCAAATTATTAAGCATCGTTTCATGAGTAAATCTACGAAATTTTTCGAAAATCAGAAAATTCTTTCTATGAGAAAAACGGAGACGAAATATTAATATTCGTTTAAGCGCACGAAACGCTCTTTGACGTCACAATGCGTAACGAGTAAGCGCGCGCAAGTACAGTGACTTGGATCAGCCTTTTGTGACGGTGCTTTTGCAATTTTTATTGGCAATAAAGAATATTAATATCAATATTACTGTCATTATTATTATGGTTAGGTTTTAATTTAAC